ACTCCACTCCACTCCACTCCACTCCACTCCACTCCACTCCACTCCACTCCACTCCACTGAGGCGCTGTGCATTGGACTTCTTCATGCTATCCTGAGCAAATTATGGAAGTGCTGACTTTTATGTTTCATAACTTGAATGTGAACTTAAATGCTGACAATCAGATTATTGCTTTTATTTTCAGTTTAGCTCAACATTTCAAATATTTTTTTATTATTACCACCCTCCAGACCTTTCGCACAGCCCTTAAAAACTGGCTATCCCGTCAGGCCTGGGATTAAAGACTGTAACCCACCCGAATAGTATGAATGTTGTGCTTTTAATGATGTATTGTCTTATGTGTCAATTGTTTGTTTCCCTCCCCTTTCGAGTTGTAAGCCGCCCTGAGTCCCCCCAGGGAAAAGGGCGGCATATAAATAAATTACTCTAAACTCTCTAAACTCTAAACTCTAAACAATTATTATAATGTTGGCAGGAAAATATGGTTATCTGGATAAGGAACATCTGCCTACATCCAAAGATAAAAGTGGAAACAATGAATCAGCCATTAGAATGGAGGGGATTAGAATCATCTACCGAAAAAGTACTTTTCGTATAACCATTCTGATTCTAAACTAGTTACTGGTTGGGTTATCAGGAATGAACAACTTGACAATAATAATGAGACTTTTTCCTCAGAAAGAAAATTGTATTTATGATGTAAAAGCAACCTTCTGGTACCATTACAATAGAAAGGATGGGGGCAAGATCATGTCACTATCTAGAGGGCAATGAATTTTCTATTTTTTCCTATTGAGGAGGGTATTTTTATATATTCAAAATATTAGCCCTACATTAGAATATATGCTGTAGTTTTCAGCATTACTTCTTTCAAAATTGTGTCACCAATTTTAGACAGTATGGTAAGAAGGGGCTCCAGAGGCTGCAGAAAAGGAATCAAATAGGACTTGGAGCTGTTATTTGATTTTATTTACCCATAAAGAATATTTGAATAAAAGTAACAGATAATATATTTACCCTTGCATTCAAAAGTAATGTTTTCCCATTTGCGAGATATTTTACATTGTGAAAAATTATGTTCTCCAAAAGACTGAAATCCATCCTTGCATTTATAGTATACAGTGCTCCCTAAAGTTGTGCTGTTATTCCAGATAATGTCTGCATTTGGCAGCCACGGTGGTTTTCCACAGTCTATTTCTAAAGGGACAGGAGATAAAACAAAAATATGAGTATTGAAAATTGAATGCATATCAAATAGTTTAATAAGAATCTATATATTATATTGACTTATGTACTTAATTTCACATAAATAGACCCTTGCCAACGCAATGAAATTGTGGGGCAAAATGGATCCAGTAATGCAGGGAAAGTGTCTAGCACACATGTTCCTCGATTGGCATATTCTCTGTATAATGTGTTCATGTCAGGTTTAAGCATGATTGTCTACTTCATAGGTACTCCTAAAAGTTAAAGCCAGTTGACCTATTATGTCTCTTTTAAGAGGGGGTATGTTTTCTGTCTGCAGCTTGCAAAAGCTGTTAGCTCAGGAACAGAATCCATCTTCTCAGATTACAGACATTCTCAATACACATCCACAAGTGAGGCACAGCCTACGAGCACCCTTGTGCACTCATGGCCAGTAGACAAGGAATCAGTTTTCAACCCTCCCTCTCTACTAAAGAGAAAAAAAAGATAATTGATAAAAAGCCGTTTATAGCGAGTACGAGGGCGATGGCCCCCAGCTACTCATGAGAAACAGCAAGACTTCCATCCTGCAATCTCCTGCAGAGGAGTAGCCGTTTGGAGCTCAGATGGGCGATCTCTCCTGTTCTCCTTTATCTGGAAAGACTTTCACTGACCAGAAATCACTGCTGGCAGTGTTCACTTCACTGATCTACTACTTTGGAGGCAACTGGTCCACCATAGAACCACACCTAGGAATCTCACTGATTATTTTAAATCTTGAAGCAGAATTAGAGCAGAGAACAAAATGAGGAGTTGGGTATCAGGGCTAGGAAAAACACATAACTAACACAGCTTTTCTGAAATTTTGATTAAAATTCAGGGAAATATGCAGACATCTAAGGCAGAAAAGTGTGTTAGAATATACCTCTTTGTGTGTTGCTTGTAAGCCCTTATTGTCTCTGTTTATTTCTTACAGAAATAATAAATTTTAGGTAAACTCAGTTTTCCTTTCTATTCCTCCCTTAGGATGTGACCAAGATGATTTATTGTTTTCTTCATTAATATCTTGTGGTCTGAAATATAGCAATAGCACTTAGACTTATATATCGTTTCACGGTGCTTTACAACTCTCTCTAAGCAGTTTTACAAGAGTCAGCCTATTGCCCCCAACAATCTGGATCCTCATTTTACCGACCTCAAAAGGATGGAAGGCTGAGTTAACCTTGAGCCAGTCAGGATTGAACTCCAGGCTATCGGCAGTCAGTCTGCAATACTGCATTCTAATCACTGTGCCAAGGCTCTTATATAATCTAGAAACTGTGACTCTTCTAATCTTGTTTCTTTTCCCATTTTTACCTTTTAGTCACCTTAACAGGTGGCAGAAAAACAGAGAACCCTAAGTGTCACAATTAGAGGGAAGATGACAGGATAGGCATACAATAGAGTAGAAATGATGGCAATATGAACTACTGGACTAGGGTGTACAGTCTCAGAAGGTTTCTGAAAGAGGAGATTCAATTCTAAAAGGTCAGTTATATTGTTATACCCATTACTTCAATACAAAATAGTATAAAGAGTTTCAGAAAGCTGCAGGAAATATTCTGAAAGTAGCTTAGCCATATTCAGATACCATGTTATGAAATACCTATTATGTTTTAATAGTCCTCTCTCTTCTAATATAGCTATAATTAGGTATTGGGAAAATTCATTTCTGTGGTGATTAACCACAACTTGTGTAAAAATTGGTTCTCAGACTGATAAAGATTCAAATGACTACTATGTAAACAGCCAGCTGTAGACTTCTCGGTTATCAAGAAAGGGAGCTATCATGCTTTCAGTTCACAATAAGGCTGTGAGAAAGAGATTCAAAAGTCTTTTTCCTAATATATACTAAAAGAAATTGGTTCCACATTGAAAAATTAGTTCCCTTGTTGGAATTCTTATATCCCTATTCTTTTCATCTGAATAAATCTTGCTAAAGAGAACTCTGTGAGAATTATGCTTGGGAAAGAATCATTTTCAGTTCAGGCAGTCTGTCATATTTGGATCAATAAACTGTTAACCATTATTAAAAAGTTAATGTTATGAATCATCACAACATTTGAAAGGGTGTAGGAAATACTCCAAGAAATAGGGCCACTGTGAAGTGAACTAAGAAGATGTTGGATAACTATTATCCATCAAAACAAAGGCAGCATCTAAATTTTAACTGAGCTGCACATAAAACCGTTTTGCACATCTTATAAGTTGACAACACTCTGGGTCTATTACTAAAAACAAATTCCAAAAAGATCATAGAGTAGTTGTGAAACAACAATAACCAGTATGAGAAGGCAGATTTATGCACATGTATTTGTTTTCAAAATGGATCAGGAAGGCATGTTTTTTTCCTTAAGCTTTTTTGATACAGTTTTAATCCTATTAAGTATTTTATGCAGCTTTTGTGCTTTATAGGTTGGGGGGGGGGGTGTTTATATACATTTAATTTTTTTTCTTATTTTCTGAAAACCACTGAGAATATAATTGAAACACAGTATGAAAACAGTATGTAAACAAGCAAGCCTGGGTCAGTATGTCACAGTAACAGAGAACACAGTGAGACATTCATTAATTAATTTAAAAATAACACAGTGAAAGTTGTTTTTAAAAATAAATACAAAAGGTATAACTGATAGTATCATTAGGCAGCGTGAACTAGGAGAAGAAAGAAAAGGAATAATAATAAAATGCTATCTTTGACCTGCAGAGACAGCACAGATTCAAACCAGGGGTGGGTTCCTGCCGGCATTACTGCTGGCTCGGTGCCTCAAAAATTTTGCGTACATGTGCTGGCTTTGCTCAGGCGCACATCAGATGCACACTCTGTGCTCATGAACATTTGCAAATAAAAAGGTCTGTGCATGCGCAAAACCTTTAAAAAGTGAAAAAATAATATTTTTTTGCACTGAAAATTATTCTGAGCATGTGAACAGAAGCGAATAAAAAGATGGCAGCCCCAGAGGAGAACCGGTTTGGTGATGTGGCAAGCCTAGGTGCTGCCAGTTCCAGCGACCCAGGCCACCAAATTACTACCAGTTTGGCCAAACCAGTCCGAACTGGTAGGAATCCACCTCTAATTCAAACCTGCCAATGCGGCAAGATTTTCTCCTGTGAGAAAGGTAAAAGCCTCTATTATCCCAGAGAGATGCTGTCTAATGGCCAGCACTGAACTCAAAGTCAACTGCTCAAAATGTTTGCTTCTCCGGGAGACATTTTGGAGAAATCTCTTCTTCGCGCTAGTGTTAGGCTAGCCTAAGCAGCAAACAATCAAACAACAGCGAGTAGCCAAGATTAGTGCAATATCTTAAAACACGGATGTCCAAGCTTTGTGGCTTTAAGAGTATAGCTGGCTGGGGAATTCTGGGAGTGGAAGTTCACAAGTCTTAAAGTTACGGAAGTTGGACACCCCTATCTTAAAACTTCTACGGGATAAAAATCCAATAATAATAGGTAAACTTTTAAAAAAATATCTAGGGAGCTTGGGGGACATTGTATGGTTATCCTGGGTGGGTCTAACACTGAAAATCTTGGAATTATATAAAGTTGGCATTGATTTCTGTGAGATTTAAAGGAACCATTTTTTTTCCAAATGGACTGACAGACTCCTCTCATTGGATCAATTACATTTATCAATAGATTTTTCAAATGCTCTTTACCTTTACACACCATATCTGCACCTTCCCATTTTCCTTTGGCATTGCAAACCGCAGTTGAGTTTCCACTTTTAAGGATATAATTAGGCTGACAAACATAAAGAATTTGGTTTCCATAAGTGGTTTTATTCACAGGAGCTGACAGAGTGTTTGGAATATAAGGTGGAGGTCCACAATCCACAACTGCAGTAAAATGAAAGGAAAAATTAATTTGAGATGCTTCTCCCCAAATATTTTGACTTCTCTAGACCTATCAAGTGGAGAGGGAAGGGTTCCTTGAGAGAAAATATAAAACACCAAGTCTCATTTTCCTCAGAATCAAATCCTTGGAACGCCTAGGAATGAACAAAGTTGCAAGAATTAAAGAACTTTACCTGCTTGAGAAAAAAAGCAGCTGAAGGAAATGGCATTCCCATCTCATTTTTTTTAGTTATTACCCACGTGAATAGTTCTCTTCCCTATTAGGTTCAGATCTGTAGTAGACTGAGATTTATTGTGAGAAAAATAGTGCTTTCCTTGGTAATATAAGAAAAAAATAAATTAAAAATTAAATTAAATGGGTTTTTAAGTTATTGTGCACCTTCTGCAGTTTTAAACCAATGTGTTCTAACTTGATATGTTTTAATAAATGATAATCAGTAAAAGCAAGAAATGTGCTTCTGATATATGAGGAATGCAAATCTTAAGAACAGAATGATGAACTGATAAGGTAAAAAGAAATAAGCACACTTAGTGTGGTTTATTCTGACAAATCCAAAGAATAAATAATATATTAATTTTAGCAGATTTAAGTATAAGATCGTAAAGATGATCCATGCAATGCCAATGCTATACAATACAAGCAGGGTATATTTTACTGCTTCTGCTAAATATTGCAGATGTAAATTTAACTTGCACTACATTCACTGTTTAATCTATTATATATGAGATTTTAAGAGAATCAGACACAAATGCATTTTGCTCACAAAGTTTAAAATATACTCAATGAAAAAGTCCATAGCCAAAAACTAAAACTAATTGTACAGACTGCACTTTAAATTAAATTAAAACAGAAAAAAATAATGATTTATTGTTGCAGTACTTACCTATACATTTTGTGCCATCATTGGGAATAAATGTTTCATGTTTATTAGAAGGCTGGAAGCCTACGTGGCAAACACAGTAGTAGCTTCCGTGTGTGTTATGGCATACAGCATGTTCACCGCAAATGCCAGAAAGACATTCATTTTTATCTGACAATATATTTAAAATATATGACAGAGATTAATCAAATTAATAAAGAATCCAAACAGCATTATATAATAAGAAAAATAATATTGTTCTACCACTCTAATAATGGATGAAAATATCCTGATTATGTGTCAGTATAATACATATACATCTAACCTGGAGCAAGTAGGCAATATTATTTTGTTACCATCATGATGAATTAACAACATATATATATGTGTGTGTGTGTGTGTGTGTGTGTGTGTGTGTGTGTGTGTGTATGTATGTATGTATATATATATATATATATATTTATTTATTTATTTATATGTTGTGAGCATGTCATAAATAAATGCCAGGTGCCAAGCACCCAAATTTTGATCACATGATCATGGGAATGCTGTAATGGTTGTGTGAAGACTGATCATGTCAGTTTTTTTTAATGATAGTGTAACTTTGAATGATCACTAAACTAATGGTTGTAAGTTGAGCACTACTTGTACATTTAGCTCAAGGATTAAAGTATACTTTTGATCTATTATCCATACACCCAAGATTGATGCTGGCCACAACTATGGATATCCCTGTACTGTTGTCCCTGGATGGGAGGCAGAATGGTCTATGTATCCACGCATCTGTCTTTCATTTTCAGTGTATTTAAAAGCATACTGTTGTAGAACTCTCTAGATTGGATAGTAAATATTCACCTACCATGGCAGATTGTTATTCCATTTCCCATAAATCCATAGTTGCATTCACAGATATCTTTGCCATCTTTTTGTATACATGTGGCATTTGCATGGCAAGTAGCACAAATATCAAAAATTACATCTCTGGTGTTTTCTGCAAAAAAACAAAAGTGGGGATTAAATCAAGATGGGAAGTATCCTAAGAATAAGGTGAATCTGAAAACCTGAAAAACAAGGAGAACCTGGAAAGAGTAGCAAAGAAGAGAAGCATTAGAATAAAATGGTTTAAATTGTTAGAATTTTTAGTGTTCTGTGCACTGCTTTGGACTCAATGAAAAGCAGGATTTAGTTTAATAAATTAAATTTTTAATAAAGCAGTAAGAGAAATGCACCCAATATGTAATTAGCAGACACACAAGGGAGATTCTCTGATGAGGATTGTCAGATGAGGAGACCTAAATTCAATCCCTCATGGGCCAGTTGCTTTATTGCAATCTAAGTTATTTCATAAGACTGTTGTGATAATAAATCATATGCTAGTGACAATTATTAACAATACAATGCACTGGGTTATGATTCTTAAATCAGCATGCCAAAAGACTATCTGGCTATCCATGCTAAATTGTAGTCCAACATATTTGGAAGAAGCATGGTCTGCACCAGTATTTCTCAGACTTGGTTGGTATATGTGGACCAACTCCCAGAATTCCCTAGCCAGCATATTTGTTGCTGAGAATTCTGGGACTTGAAGTCTACACATCCAGAAATCATTAAGATTGAAAAATAGTATCAGCTTAAAAGGTGCACACACAAGGAATCCTTAGAATCACCTAAAGAATCAGCTTAAAAGGTGCACGCACAAGGAATCCTTAGAATCACCTAAAGAAACAAGGAAGAGGGAATGGGGATTTTGGCATCCTCAGTTAGTGAGCTACAACTCCCAGCATCCTTCACTACTAGATAAACTGGCTGGGCCTGCTGGAAGCTCCCCATATAAATCTTGCAAACTGGAAAGTTTGCATAATATATCTAGAAGAAAATTTTGCAACTTGGCATGAAGTGCTGAGTGGCTCCCACCCACTTTTTAGCATGTAGGAAATAACGTTCAACGTTTGCTGGAAGACAACATCCTCATTTTGAAGATATTGGGCAAGCTCAATGGTTCACAAACATCTCTCTCTCTCTCCACATAATTTGCCATTGTTATATTTAGAATTTCTTTCTATCAAGATTAGGCCCATCATGTTTGAAAAGGGAGACACTGTTGAAATGACCATTGTATTTTTTAATAGTACTTTTACTCACTGAACAGAAGAATGATTGAAAGTTTGGGGGAAACTAGAATAAATATATCAGGAAAATGTTATGAAAAAGTAGAATTCATTCTGGGGATGTATTTGTTATATAGATGGGTTTTCCCTCCAAAACAATAGAACATCTGATGCATTCTTGAGCTATTTATCCATATGCATTCTGCACATGACCAGAGATACTTTCTCAGCATTATTCAGACAGCAGATGACTGGCCTTCACAACACATATGGAGGTCAACATGTTGGTTGCTTAATCACATTGTTCTAGGGCAGGGCAAACCTAAACCAAAAGTCCTAACTGGAAGCCCCCTGTTCAATTCTGGAGCTGACCGGAAGTTCAGTTCCCCCACCATAGTCTCTCCTCCTAGCACAGCATACTTTTTCGTCTACCTGTCATAACCGAAAGCCCTATCAATTGTGGAAACAACCCTCCCCTTGCCATAGAGTCTTCTCCTGGTTCACCGTGCTTCTCTCCCCCCACCAGAAGCTCCTCTCAAAATTGTGGCACCAACCAGTGACGGAGCCACAGCAGAGGGAGGAAAGAGCCACATGCGGCTCCAGAACCACAGTTTGCTGACCCCTGTTCTAGGGTCTTGCTGCAGCCCTGCTTAATAACAGAATAACAGAGTTGGAAGGGAACTTGGAGGTCTTCTAGTCCAACCCCCTGCACAAGCAGGAAACCCTATGCCATTTCAGACAAATCGTTGTCCAATCTCTTCTTTAAAAACCTCCAGTGTTGGAGCACCCACAACTTCTGGAGGCAAGTTGTTCCACTGGTTAACTGTTCTAACTGTCAGGAAAAAAATATTTTGCCACCTTGAGATAACTTGCCTCAGCCTTTCTATAGCATGTTGAAAAAAGCCGCAATTAATACGAGTAATACTTCTATTAGTATTAACAGTCCAAGATGTTTAATAAAGGAGCTTGGAAGAAAGAGAGGGGGAGGGAGGGATAACGAGAGAAAGAGAGAGAAGCAGCAAACATTTCATCAAAATTGACCCCTGGCTCCGCCTGTAATTGCCCAACCCTACGCCAAACCCAGCTTCGGATGCTTCAAAAGCCAAGATCTTGGCGCGGGAGCGGTGCTCCGAATTAAACTCCAAGTCGAGCCCAAGCGCCGGATTCCATGCGAAGTCCCCTCTCCCCTCGGTCCACGCTTACTCCGTTTCTTCTCTTCCTCCGAAGAGTGGGTCAGAAGCAGCAGCGCCCACAAGACCAGCAGCAGGAACTGAGGACGGCCCCGCGTCGCTCCAACAGGCCCCGATTTCATGTCGCCTCCAGCAGCCACGGTTCCCGCCTCAATTCGTCTCAACTTCGAGAGGCCCCTGGCGGAGGAGAGGCCCGGCTTAAGGCGCGGTCACCTTCTACTTCTTCCTCTCTCGACTCCAATCTGTCTTCGCCCCCTTCCTCCTGCCGCTTGTCACCCTTATGGGTTGCAGGAAGGAAGCGCTCAACACCCGCAGAGCGTGGGAAGTTTTTGGCTCGACTCTTCCTGCCCCTTCCATCGGGTGCAGCAACAGAGACCCCCGAGCCTCCTGGCATCTGAATTGCTCCCCATCGTCACCCAAGTACACCTCACGGCCACTCTTCCCCCGTCCTTTTAGGGCCATTGAACCCCGAGCTTAATTGTTATCCAGGAGGCTGCCCCAAAAGCATTTTATAGTTTGCAGAATGGAAGATGTAGGAAGGTGGCACACCCGCATTTCCCACTCTGCTCATGGCTGACGTGGGAGACTGAAATTAGTAGACTAGGAATTGGCTGCACTGTGTTGTTGTTTAATAGGATCGATTTGCCAGATGCAAAGTCACCAATGCCGTTTCTAAAGTGAGAGTGTCGGAGTAGAGACACTTGGAAATTCTCACCTTTGGCCAGAATTAAAAAATAGCTGAAAAAATAAGGACGAAGCTCCCCTAAAGAAAGTTGCAAATATATTAATTATGTGAATTCTCCACGGAGACCCGCTAAATGTTTAAACAACAAAATACCTATCTTGATCTTTCAGTTCTGGACTATTTTTCGATAGGGTCGTTCTATCCAAGTGGCTGCCCTGATAAGAGTATCTATCAGTTGACTTTACAAGGGAGTAGTTACTTTATTAGCAGCCAGAAAGAAGATAGTATACTGGTTTCTTATATGATTTCATACATTTCATTGCCATATGATTTTTTCTTTTTCTAGTACTGTAAACCCTTTTCTTGTTCAGATAGAGAATCACACTTCAAAAAAATATGTTAATAAAGTCAGAGGTTTTAAAGGTTTGGGGAGTATTTCTAGCCTCCTTATCACTTTCTCCAGAAGGTGCAACTGATAATAGTATGATTTAGAGCAGAGTTTTCAAACTGAGCAAGAAAACTGCATATGTTGCCTGTGTGTTAACAAACCACCTTCAATAGTGCAGTTCTAATCCAATGAAAGGGAGTGAGGATTCTGATGTAACACAATTTTGAGGCTTCTAATGTAATTCCCTGATGGATCTGTTGTATTGCCTTTGGCAACATTTTCTCCCTTTACAAGCTGGAAGCAGTTTTTGCATTTACTTTTTACAATTAGTTCCTAAATATAGCTCATGTTGACAAGTCTTTTTAGCTGTAGAGATAGAGGCAACATTAGCCACACTAGGAAAATGATAGCAGAAAATCAACTCCACAGTTAAGAGTAGAATTACACTTTATTGAGATAGGCTACAAAGTCAGAATTTCCAAGTCTAACTGTGCTTTCAGGAATCAGGGAGGGAGAGAAGTCAGGGAGGTATTTGCCTAAACCACTTCTGAATATTATTTTGTTTCCTAGGTTTTAAAAAACGCTTAAGCACCCTTGACTAGGTAAGAGTTTCTACATATTTCTGCCCTTATTCTCTACAGGTAAGGTACCTGAGTAGTTGTCCAAGAAAGATCTGCCTACAATCTTTGCAGAGGCATGCTGTCTGAATGGTGCAGCTAGCATTTTGCTGAGCGTCAAAACCAAAGAATTCCACAAATAATTCAATAAAACGTGAGACAAGGGAGTTACAAATGGATTCCCCAATCTGGCCTTGTCAGTCATCCAGGTTATGGTTGTCCCACAGGTGCTTTTTCAAGAGGCAACTAGACTGGGGGGGGGGGGTTGGAGGCATTTTGCTTCTCATCCAAAAAGCTTCTTCAGCTCTGACTGGATGGTGGGAAAAGTTTTAGTCAGGTGGTCATCTGGAACAATGTTCCAGATAAATCTATAAATTAAAGTTTGCTTTCTTGCTTAGGTGGCATCATGTCAGTGCCAACTCTTAGTGAGCATATACTGTAGATTTTTCTCCCCAGCAGGATCTGTCCCCAATTTGATCCTTCAGGGGTTCCAATGGTGCACCTATCTCCACTGTAGCTGGGTCTGTAAGCTTTGCTCTTGGTTGCCTTCTCCTCTTTTCTTTCACCTTTCCCAGCATTATAGATTTTTCCAGAGAGCAAGGTCTTTTTATAGTGTGTTGGAGGAATGAGGTCTCTGAAGTATGATAGCTCTGGATTGATTTGTTCAACGATCTGTTTTCTTAGCTATCCACGGTATTTTCAGATCTCCTGAGCACCAAATTCCACAAAGCATGAACCCACTTTCTATTCTGCTTCTTCAAATGTCCAACTTTTGCTTTCACAGACTGTCACAGGGAAAAGTATGGATTTCAGATTCCCATTTCACTTTGAGCTATTTTTTTCTACACCCAAGTGCTATTCCACTGTGAGCATTGGAGAGCATAACCAGACTCCCTTTTACTCCTGTAGTTCTGATCATTGTTTTTTATTTGTTCTACATCATGAATACAGAAGTATTTGTAGCATACAGGATAGAGGAAGGGGGGGGGGGGAGAAAAACTTTAAAAGTGTGTTTAAAAATAAAAGCAATAAAATAACAGTGTGAAGATGCTCTTACAAAGCCACTAGGACCAAGGTCTAAAATTCTAAATGGAAGCATTGATTTCCATATTTGAGAAGGACCAGTTCGGGGGTGGGGGGTATTCTGTTACTCAACTACAACTCTCAGCAACTTCAGCCAGCCTGGCTACCATTAAGAGATGTTGAGTGTGACAATTTAGGAACATTAGGTTCATGTAATGACAGGAAATGATCATAAAACTGATCTTTGATGGTTGGAATCGGATTGTTATGAATTGGACACTATCCCCTCAAGGTTTGGTTTTTTTTTGCCTTGAAAAAAAATATAAATTCCACATGCCGGAAACTAGTTAATCGCTTTTGAAAGCCCCATCCTGATGAAGTTCATGGAAGGGCTCCCTTTCACAGTTCAGAAACAAGGGGGTACAGGTGGCAAAGAAGTGATATTGTGTCACTGGCAGGGAGTGGGTAGGAATGTTTTGCTTTACAGTGTTGTTTTTTTTTAAGGAGTTTGGGAGAATTGACCTAGGGTAAAAGCAGTGCTTTCCAGCAAGGATGGAAGTAAGGGTAGGATTTAGTGTTAGTTGGCAAGAGAGAGATCTTTGCTTGAGAAGAGGACATTGAGGAAAATTAGGACTCCCTCTTAGCCCTTGACACCTTGACTTTCCTGACAGCAGGAAACCACCTACCAACCAGGCTTGATGGCCTTATTTTGGAGATATAGCAAAAGGAGCAGTTTCCCCATTTTCTTTTAGAATCTTTGCATATTCTATTTTCCTTTTATTTTTCTACCAACTAAACCTCTGTTTCTGTAGAACATTCCATAAAGCCCTCATATCCTTCATCAATAGTTAGAAGTGAAACCCAATCCTCTTGTATTGTTTCATGACATATTGCACTGGAGCAGAATTATTTTACAATGCTAACTCTATGTGTGTCTCTCCCTCCATTAACAGAAATGCCTGGCCAGTGAAAGGCTCAATCTAACATTCTAGAGGTGCATGTTGAAAGATCCCTGGGGGATCCTTGATGTTCTCTGAACTTGATTGTTTGCTTGAAGACCTTTCATTACCCAAACTAAGTAACATCATCAGGGCTAGTAAGGAGTGGGGTTTGTTCTCGAGTTTGCTCAAAGGTCCCTATAATAAGTAAACACCGGTCATCTTGAAATCAGTCTTGGGAGAGCATTAGCACCGAAATCTGCAGAAAACTTATTCAAACATTATCACAGTCTCATCTTTAAAAGAATACTACAGTTTAACAATATCTCTTGCGCCCTTCTACAATTTATGTTCTTCCAAGCAAAAACAAACCTAAAACTAAACAAAAAAAGCATAAATCTCTACATTGCAAGCAACCAAATAAATATGAAAGACGTGAACGGCTTGGGCAGTAGTTGCCTTTAAAAAAAAAAGCAATAAAAATTGTTTGTCTTCAACTCGGATAAATGGGAGCAAGCCCAGAGCCTCAATTAATACAGATTACCCATTCACAATGGAACTTACATTTATTTTTATACGCTTTGCTGTCATTTGCTTCCTGCTGAAGGGCTAAGATGAGACAGCGGAGCATGATGGAGGACTGCCATTGTGCACATGAAATAGAGAGCAAATACTGTCCTTCTGGCTTGGTTGTAATCAGATTAATTAACAATTGCCTCCTGGTTTGCTGATTAGACAACCAGGCAAGCATAAGCAATAAAGTGTGCTGGAGCAGATAGAAATGAAAAACTGTGTGTGTGGGAGAGGGAGGGGGGAGAGACAGAGAGAGATAGAGAGAAGGGGGGAACTGCCTAGAGTCTTGGTTCTCATCAAAATGCTTTAGTGGTTATTGTGCTTGAGCATTTTTCTTGTAATAATATTGACCGCAAAGGGAATACAGCACCCCTTATAATATTAAGCAAACCTCTCTCTTCCATGGATAGAATTTATTTCTTAGCATGCCGCTCATGCTAAACTGAACTTAAAACTGTAGAAATAGCCGGCAACTGAAACCAGCACACTACAGGAAAAAGGAGGCTATTGATGCTACAGTATATAGGAAGATTAAGCAAAACCAGACACAACAGCAAAGCTATTAAGAACCTTCGCTTGTAGCCTAAGATGGGATATACACATCTAAACACTGGGACAGCTGGACATAGCATTCTATAAGTGCATTTCAAATTTCCTCCTGTTTTCACCATAGTTCTTCCTCTCCCAGAGCATGGAGGGGGTGTTTTTTTTAATGATGCTGATGCAGGAGCTGTAACCATAGAGACGTAATAGTCATTAGAAACTGGCATTTCCCTCAGTATAGCTATACCTGCTATCTGGTAGCCCTGAAGATGTTCCAAAAATGGCTTCAGGCTGACACAGGACTTGAATTTATGGCCTCCCACTTTCTAGCCTTAACCACTAGACCAAACTAGCT